CTGCCGTCTGCCAGCGCGGCCTCCGTTCCCTCCTTTATTGTCCGTGCGAGTTCTGTAGCGGAAGCGAGTAATAACCGACGGGCAAACGTGTGTGTTCATCTGCTCCTTTCTCCGGTGCCGTAGCGAGCTACTGGCTGTGCGGATTGGAAGCTGTCGCGCTCGAGAAAGCGCAGTCCCGCAGCAGAAGGGCCGACTCGGGGCAGAACCGGCCGCTCCTCACGGAACTGGCTGCGCTTTGCCGGCAGGAAGGCTGGCGGGGAGGAGCTCGCCCGGGGCGCGTCTGTGCGGAGGCTTCGCGCACCTGGGAATCGCGGGTTGCTGGAGCTGCTCTCTGTAAAAAAACCCACCGCGTTACAATGACATGTATTTTTGTGTTCCCTCCTGGAAACGAGAGGCGCCGCGTCCAGCGCGAGACCGCGCGCTTGGCTCTCGTGGTGGACAGAAAGGCTGCAGCCGTGGGGGTGGCTGCTTGGGGATGGCCTGGCGGCGCTTTCTGTAGAACAGCCCGCCGAGTTGGTCTCTGCACCGCCCTGAATCCTCCCTCTGTGCCATTTGTTGATTCCACTGCCCTCCCCCCAGTCACCTCTGCTGTCACCACGGCTTCTGTTGGGCTTCACCCTGTCGCTTCGCATGTTGTCCCTAGTCCCCTGGCAATGTGGGGGTGGCGGTGTCTGAAATGTTCCTTGACCGCTCTCCTGTGTCACACGGGTGCAGCCATCACCCCTGGAGCCCCGGGGATTTGGGTGTGTGGGAGATGAAATGCCCAGGTAAAGGGAAGATGTGGATCACTGCATCATTATTTTCTAATATTTGTTTGGGATATAATTCATCTGGGGCAACGCTGCCCTGTTATCGAGACGGTTGTTCTGTCCCGAGGAGGGAATTAAGAATGTGGAATTTACCCTGCAGCCAGGAGGAACTTGGCGTGCCTGGCCTCAGGGTGTTCCTGATGGGGATTAGAACAGTCGGAGAATTAGAGAGAATCTGGAATGGGGGGTTAGAAACCTGATCAGTGCAGTCAGAGCTGGGGAGGAGGAGATGGGGTAAGTTGATGCAGGGTTGGGCTTTGGAGAAGGGCGGGGTGAGCCAGGCGCTGGCTGCCATGGCAGTGGGATGGCCAGGGTGGATGCCCCGGCCCTGCAGCAGCCAGCGATGGGCTCCTGAGTTCCCCCGGCCCATCAGAGTGACGCAGTCTCTGCTCACATCTGTAAGAGATGGGCCCTGGGCGTAACCCAGCCCACGTACCTGCAGTGGTCACTGAGGAAGAACGGGCTGGCTGGGAAAGTTGTGGGGCTGTGAAAAAGGAAACTGGAATTTGGGCTCCCAAGGGAAAAACCCATTTTACTGGGGAAAAAATTGAATGGCTTTGGCTGGGTGGTTTCATGATGGAACACACGGAGGGATGACAGCAGTTGTTAAGCAGATTGAGAGAACGTGGGCAGCCCCCAGAATATGTATGGCAGTAAAAAGGATTGTGAGTTCTTGTCCCACACGTTGGAAGTTTTCTGACGCCAGACCCAAGGGGAGGCTGGCACACGACCGTGTTCCACAGACTGCCAAGGGATGACGCTGACCTGACTCCTGCGAGCGGAGTTCAGCACCTGCCGGGAATCACAGACCGAGGCTCAGGATGGGCAGGAGCTTTTCCCTCCAGGAAAGCTGCTGCTGCAGGAGTGGCCAGAGCACTTTTGTGGGAAATCGTTCCCAGATGGGGAGTTCCCGGAGCCATCGTATCTGGCAGGGGTTCTCATTTTTCAATGGGAATAACAAACAGCATCTCCAAACCTCTGGGAATACAGTGACAACGAGATGTTGCACATGATCTACAGTTGTCAGGACAGGTGGAAAAACGAATAGAACTCTCAAACCCACATTTGCTCAAACTCAGGTAGGTTTGAAATGGCCTGGGTTTTTAAGAGTAGTGCTGTGGGATATTAGAAATAACCCCTCGCCGGCCTCTGGGGTTGTCACCAGCAGGAATAGTGTTTGGCACGTATTTGGCTGTGCCTGGGACCTCTGTTCCTGCTAGGACCAGCCTCTTCAACGGAGATGCACCAGTGACCAGGTTTGTAGTGGGGGTACAAAAACTCGTACAAGAAAATGGGGCACAGGCCCAGTGGTTTCAATATACCAGGATTTAGTGGGACTCTTAGACACCAGGTTGTTTTTTTCAATTTTTTTGCACAGTGGGAGAACTTAAGGGAAAGGCCCCTCCACAGTTTATCCTGTCAGATGCTACAGTGGTTTACATGCCCTGAAACAAAACAATGAAATACCTGTCTGTCTCTGCAGCAAGAAATACTGTCTCTGTGAAAGCTGACCACATGGAGAACATACCCCCAAAACACAAGTAGCCCAGGTAAATAACTCAGTCATGTCTGTCCTGAGACTGGAACAGAGGGACAGTCATAGCTCTTACTTGGGAGGACACTGTAATTTTAGTTATGCTGTGCTTTCAAGCTCACTTGCACATTCTGTAAAGTTTCAGGCCTGACTCTGGCTGATGGATAAGTATTTTTTTTAAAACTTGCATGTTAGTGTTGCAGCCCCAAAACTGTCCCAAAGAATGAAGTTGATCAAGTGACAACGCATTTCTGGCAATCTGTTAAAAACCATAAGAATCAGATTGGAATTATTAAATGTCTTGTATTCCAAGGACTTGGCAAGAGCTTTCACTGAGTGCACTGAACTCAGACAGAGAAACCAGCTGATACTGGTGGAAGGGCCGCCCCTTTGGGGTGCACAATGTTAAGACCAGGGCAGTTGTCTTTGCTGTCTGGTGAGTGTTGCTTCCCCTCCACTCAGTCCTATGAGGGGGTTTTCCATCGCTCCCCGCTAGACCCCTGCGTTCTCTGTCTGACTGCTGTGGTTATGCATGCACAGAGGGCTGGGCTGTGCCGGTGCTCCACACTGAGCATGCGGCTGGTGTGTGCTAGGCACGGCCGCTGCCTCGGGGGGTGGGTGAGTGGAGAGTGTCGGGCATTACCACCCCGCCATGGCCACTGGCACCCAGGCTGTTGGGCTGGAGCCTGCTGGGGTGCTGTGCCAGGAGGCAAGGCACGGGCCCCAGGAGCGCCCTGAGACCCACCACTGAGCAGAGGTGCCTGTGGGGTGGCAGGAGCTGGCCCTGGCTCTCTAGCAGAGCATTTGGTCACCTCGCAGCATGGTGGGGAGCTCCCCGGCTTGAGGTTTCTCAGCTGTAAGCACTGCGCAGGGCAGTGGAAGCAGCTCGCTGCATCCCCCCACGTGGGAGCGAAACGCCCAGGAAGCGCCCGGCTGTGAGCGGAAGGAGCTTTTCATCACACCCGGTGAGGGCCGAGCTGTGCAGCACTGGCAGGGCCCAGGGCTGGCAGCGGGCTCTGCTGACAGCTGCAGCCCGCTGGCTGCCGGAGCCCGCTGACCTGCGTCAGAGGAAGGAAACTCTGCTTTCAGCTGCCTGTTCCCTCCACGCTTCCCGTCAGGCCCAGGGCAGGGCCATCGCTGTGCTGTAAAGCACCATCCTGCAGGTCTGAGCAATGTGACAACGTGCCCACTTTAAACCAAGTGGCTTACTTTCTGGAGCAGAGCTGGCCGTGAGCAGAGTATTTTTCTCAGCCTGTCTCTAGCTGTGTGGCTGACGTACTGCTTTCTGGAGGCTGGTGGTGGGTTTGCTGTGCTGCTTGCAGGGGCGCAGCCCCTCTGTCCCACCATGGCCCTGTCCTGTGCGTTGAGGCTACCGCACTGGTACCTTCGCCCTTCAAGCAAGCTCCTGAGCAGCCTCCCCAGTCGGGACTTTAGCCTTCCAACAGAGAAGACGACAGCAGCAAATTGGAAGGAGAAGAAAAAGGCCAGGGAGGGCTGCAGCCTGCCAGGTTCCTCCTGGGAGGAGAGGTATGGCCTTTCCAAAGCACCAAGCACCTGAAGCGGGTTAGAGCAGTGGGTTAGGGGTTTCACCTTCACCCAGGTCTACCCTGTAGGAACAGAGGAGCCAGGGATCAGCTGGCCTCCCTTGAGGTTCACCTGGGGATAGTAATAATGGAGAATACTAATGAAAAGAATCAGGAGCAGAGTGGTTGCCATACTGGCAAGCAAAAAGCAGTAGTCCTTTTCATTTGCAGTTCTGTGCCTGAAAGTAGTTGGCACTGAGTGCTTTGGAAGCAGCTCCAGAAGTCCCAGTAAGTGATAACAGCAGCTTATCCAGCTGTGGGGTGAGGTTCTCCATGGGCTCAGTGAGTCGGTAGTTGATGGATATGATAGTTTGGATCATATCCACCTCACACCTTACTCTGTCTTTTCTTTTAAAATCAGCTTTTATGTGTTTTGTTCTTGCTTGCCCTGTCTCAGATACAAGTAGTGGCAAGTTCCAAGGTTTGTCTCTAAACTGCCACTGCATGAGTGACCGGGTTGGTGAGAGTGGGCAGCCTGTAATTCCCTGCCTGCTACACACAAACTGCATTTCACTGTGGTGGATTTAATTTAGTACAGCATTAGCAAAAAAGATGTAGTACTGGCTGGAAGGGTGAGCAGGTAGATGACACAGGATGGATGCATCGAGCCATGAGAAAAGCATCTTGCTCTTTCAGGGGAAAACTCCAGGGTCTTGGGCTGTCCTCAGAGCTGCAAGGGATGGCCAAAGCTTCTGATTCCATGGGAGAAAGCAATTAGAGTCCATCTAAAGCTACAACACGATCTTTTTTTTCCTTCTCTACCTGTACTGTGGGGTTTTTTTCCCCCCTTTAACCCCAGTAATATCTTAATACTCATTCCCCTGGCTTTATCAGCTTGGAGTCAGATCTCACCCAGGGCTTGGCAGGGCCTCTCTGGGTCCCTGTGCAGGGGAAACACTGTTCCTGGCCCTATCCTCTAAAGGAGGTTCAGAGAGATACCTGGGCTGCCCAAGACACCCAGGCATTGCTGTTCAGTCTTCTGCCAGAGGCTCAGCCTGTCCTCTGGAGAGCTGGTCCTTGTGGTTCCTGGGTCCCTTTTTCTAGCCACAAGTATTCTGCACCAGGAAGGTGCCATGAAAAGGGAGTTTGGATGTTCACAGCCAGCTCTGGTGCAGAGCCCGTACCAGGTCCTGCCCATGAAGCATCCAGTGAGGATGTTACACTGTAAGTATCAGGGGGTGAGTAGCTCTGGGCATTACGGTGATGTTGTGCTTTCCAGGTTAGCTAATGTGGTGACTCCACTGTGGAGACTTCCCTATCCAGAGCAGCTGCAGGTAAGATGCAATTACGTGGATTTTTCTCTGTTGCCCCAGCTGTCCCTCCTATCCCCCTTGAGCAACAGCCCCTATCATCTCAGTTGCTTAATGCTATAAACTCTTCAGATCCCATTTACTGCCGCTTTCATTCTTCAGTTTTGTGGAGGTCAGAACTGGGAGAGATTCCCTGTGGGTGGTGTGTTTGCTCTCCAACAGCACAGAGGATGGCCTTGCACAGCGATCCTGTTCAGTGGGGGACAGCTGGTTCACTGGGGCTTCAGGTTGGACCAAGTGCTCCAGGCCAGCACTTGGGGACTATGGACACAGTATTTCTCTCTGTCCCTGTTGCTCCAAGCAGCTGCGGTGATGAGAAGGGCAGGGTTCCTCTGGGGCTTTATCCCACTTGCAGTATTCCCTCTTGTTGGCCTTCCCAGAGGTAGATGATGACTCTCATATGGTCCCGTGAGAGTGTTTCTGGCTTAGAGCTCCTTTTCAGGTGAAGTATGAAAACCAGAGGAAGATTTTGCAGACGTTGACATCTCATCTTGAGGAGCTGGGCATAGATGCGCAGAAACTTGGTGGCCTCTGCTGTCCTCTCCGGCCTGTAGTCCCTTCGGTGAGTATCCCATGGGAACACTGTCTCCTCTGAGCCGCTAACAGTCCCTTATGTGACTCCCAAAGAGTCTCAGGTTGGCCATTACTTGCTGGCAGAGAATGTGCCTGTGGCAGTACTCACCAGCTTCTACTTTGCAGCCTGTGACTCCCAGTGTTAAACAAGCCCTGTGATTAAGAACCATTTTTTGTGCTCTGATAAACCTGTCACCATTCTGTCACAGGGAGCCGTTTCTTATTCCCAAGGGGAAGTACTTGGGGGTCTCGCACACAAGCTCAGTTTCTGCATTTTGCACATTCATGTACCTTCCTGTGTTGCCAACAGAACAACCATGCTGGGTTTTGGCTTTCCTCTATTTTTCCTTCTAATGCAAGGTTCTCCTTTTCCTTATTTGCTCCCTTAGCCTGTCGTTAGTGGATACCGAAACAAATCTACTTTCTCTGTGAACCAAGGACCGGATGGAAACCCCAAAACTGTGGGGTTGTATGTGGGAACTGGCAGAGGTCAGTGCAGGACAAGGAGCTGGGTAGAAAACTGCTGGTGTGGGCTGGGGCAAGGCTCTGCTCTAACAGTCTCCACCTGAGTTAGAAGCCTGAATCCTGGGGGATGCCAGCAGAAACACCAGCAAATCTGGGGCAGCAACTTTAAAACCTCAGTTCATTAATTTCTTGAGAAACACCAGCTTCTAAAAAGCTGTGGAAGCAGCCGCTCCAGGATTTACCTTTGTTAGTCTTTTATGCTGTTCCTGTGTTTTTGGTGTGCTCCAAGAGCCTGTGCTGCGAGGGTGAGCGTGGGGAGATGTGCACGTCCATAGGCAGTGGAGCAGTGCTGGAGCTCCAGCCTCTCCATGGAAGTTGGTGACAGTAATCACTGTCAAAGGGAGTTCTGGCGGGTCTTGCAGACTGCAGGCATGCAGAACATCCCAGGATTTAGCGGGCTCTTAGACACCAGGATTTTTAATATTTTTTGCACAGTGGGAGAACTTGGGAAAGGTTTATCCTGTCAGATGCTACAGTAGTTTACATGCCCTGAAACAAAACAATGAAATACCTGTCTGTCTCTGCAGCAAGAAATATTGTCTGTGTGAAAGCTGACCACATGGAGAACATACCCCCAAAACACAAACAAGTAGCCCAGGTAAATAACTCAGTCATGTCTGTCCTGAGACTGAAACAGAGGGACAGTCATAGCTCTTATTTGGGAGGACACTGTAATTTTAGTTATGCTGTGCTTTCAAGCTCACTTGCACATTCTGTAAAGTTTCAGGCCTGACTCCGGCTGATGGATAAGTATTTTTTTAAAACTTGCATGTTAGTGTTGCGGCCCCGAAACTGTCCCAAAGAATGAAGTTGATCAAGTGACAACGCATTTCTGGCAATCTGCTAAAAACCATAAGAATCAGATTGGAATTATTAAATGTCTTGTATTCCAAGGACTTGGCAAGAGCTTTCACTGAGTGCACTGAACTCAGACAGAGAAACCAGCTGATACTGGTGGAAGGGCCGCCCCTTTGGGGTGCACAGAGTTACGCTAAGACCGGGGCAGTTGTCTTTGCTGTCTGATAAGTGCTGTTTCCCCTCCACTCAGTGCTATGAGGAGTTCATCCGTCGCTCCCCGCTGGACCCCTGCATCCTCTTCCATGAAGGCGGACACTGGCGGGAGCTTGTGGTGCGCACCACCAGCCGCGGCCACACCATGGCTATCGTCACCTTCCACCCCCAAGAGCTGGGCCAAGTAAGTACACGGAGGACAGGACCTCTGGCAAGAGGCTTATCAGGTATCTGGCTGACCTGAGCTTGCTGAGTGTATTGCTGGGGAGAGGTGTCTAATCAGATTACCCAAACAGCCAGGTTTTCCTTTCTTGTTCCTGACAGGAGGCACTGGTTACTCAGAAAGCATTGCTTAAGGAGTTCTTCACATGTGGACCTGGAGCAGTCTGTGCCTTGACTTCACTTTATTTCCAAGAGAGGTATGCCTTGACAGAGGGGAAAGAGTGCAAACAAAGCCATCTCCTTTTTCTCCCCACTCTCTGATCAAATTCAAATTCTACCAGTTCAGGGATTGCTTGAAGAGAATGACAGGTGTTGGGATGTCTCTTGCAGATGTGGTTTTAATATGTTTTTTCCAGACCTGAAATACTTTAGTATGGCTCTACCTCATGGGAGTTATGAGCCTGGGAAACTAAAGACTAAGACCTACAGTAGCTTTCCTAAGACCGTAAATCACATTAGCAGTAAAACTGGGGAGCAGACCCTAGGACTTCTGCCCTCTGCAAAGTCATTTTGATCCATTCAATGAATTCTAGGCTGTGCAAGTCAGAGATCCCTTAGAAAGTATCAAAATGCTGTTATCCTGTTGAAAGGCTCACATGAAATAAGAGTTGGCTGGGTGAGAACCATCCTCTCCTGCATATGAGCACCCCGGGAATGCAAATGAAAACCAGCTGCCTCTCTGCTACCTTCTATCTAACAGCTAGTCTTTGTGTGCTCTGCCAGCACCATGACACGCTGCTCCCACGAGCAGTCCCCCTTCCAGCTCCTTCATGGGGAACCACACATCTTTGAAGAACTGCTCAGCCTGAAGTTCCGCATCTCCAGATGCCTTTTTCCAAGTAAACACAGGTGGAGCAGAAGTTCTGTACCAGGCAGTCAGGGAGCTGAGCCAGGCTGGTGGGGACACCATCCTCCTCGACATCTGCTGTGGAACGGGTGAGCAGTGGCCATGCAAGCCTGGCTCCCAGGAGTGGTGCTTTGTGTGCCAAAAATGATCTCTACTGTCTAAAGGCTTGTTTCTTCAGCATGGATGTATGGAATATTTTTGTCTCCTTCATTTCCAGGCACAATTGGTCTATCTCTGGCTCACCAAGTCTCCAAGATAATTGGTATTGAGGTGGTGGAGAAGGCAATAGAGGATGCCAGCTGGAATGCAGCATTCAATGGTGAGTTTAAACTTGCTGTGGCAGAAAGTTTCAAACTAACTGCTGCAAAATTGGAAGCAGAAGTGAGCGGAGGGATCCTAACAAGTTATCTCTGCACAGCAAAGGGTGGTACTTCACGTTATACCTCACATCTGGTGAGAATGACTCTGCTCAGTTCATGTGGTTGCTTTTTGCTTCACAGGAATTTCAAACTGTGAGTTTCACAGAGGAAAGGCAGAGGTCGTGCTACCACAGCTCCTGTCGTCGTGGGAGGATGCCCGACCCCTCGTTGTTGTGGTGAACCCATCGCGGGCTGGGCTCCGTGAGAGAATATGCTATTTATTTTCATGTTGAAAACAGAATTTTGAACAAGTTCTGTGAGATGTGTTACACTGGGTCCAAACCCTCTGCTCAGTCTCCAGTTTCTAACCTTGTTGCTGACAGCAGCTAAAATCCCATAGAGTGCTGTTTTCAGTGCCTTTATCATGCTTTCTCTTCAAATCAGACAGCTCTAGTCTTTTTTCCATCTTTCATGTGCTCACAGAATTATGTAGGAGAGAAGGAGCCTCTGGAGGTCTGTGGTGAAATCTCCCAACTAAGGCAAGGCCAACTTTAGAGTTGTATAAGGTTGCTCAGGGCTATGAAGCCCAGTTGAGGTTTGAATATGTCCAAGGGTGGATACCCTCTCCTGAAAATGTTTTCCCTCATCTAGTGAATTAGAATTTCCCCTTGCTGTAGTGCATCTGTTGCCTCCCATCCTTCTCTCATGCTCCTCTGAGAAGATTGTTGGCTCCACGTTCTCTGTAATCCCCCACGAGCCCCCTGAAGATAGCAGAGGGATCCCGGATCACCTTCTCTTCCCCAGGCTGAATGACCCCATCCCTCACATTCTCCTCATGCTTGCTGTGCCCCAGCCCTGTAACCATCTTAGTCAGCTCTGCTGGACTCTCCAGTGTGTACTGGGAAGTCCCAAACTGGTTCTGGTGCCCAAATGCAGTCTCACAAATGTCTGTGGAAGGTTTTACGTGCCTTTGCTTAATTAAGTAACACCGCTTCTCTCCCTGGCCTGCTCAGAGCTCGCATCTGAGACAGGACATGGCAAAATGTGGATAGTCTTCCTTCCCTGTATTTTTGACAGTTCAATGCAGTTCTGTGATGCTTGCTGTGAGGTCATTCCTCCTGGAGAGCTCACCATGGTGGAGGGTTGCTGGGAAAGTACGGTGTCTGTTTTTGCAGATTACAGGGTTGTGCAAGCTATCCGGAACTGCAAGTCCATCCGAAGGCTGCTCTACATCTCCTGCAAGCCAGAGGGTGAAGCCATGAGGAACTTTCTTGAGTGAGCACTCTCCTCTCTTCCTTTCCACTGACCTTAGTGACAGACCCTGTTTTGTCCAGACAGGGACATAAATATCTGACCTTGGCTTACATAGCTTTTTGCTGCCATTGAATTCCTCAGGGTGAGTTCTGCAGGTGTGATCCAGTGCATGGTCAGAAGTGGTTTCTGCTTCTGCATTACTTTGGGTTTAACCTGCATTCACTGGCTTAAGGTAGTGGGTATTTCTGGGGGTTTATGTTGCAGCATAAGGAATAGAAAACAATGCAAACGTTATAATGGCATTGTGCATCCTTCCCCAGCAGAACAGCACATATGGATATGGGATATGGACTACACTGTGTCCACTCCAGGAAGGCTGCCCCTGGCCAATGAAGTGAAGCCACAGGGATTAGTCACCTACTTAAGGTTAACCCTGTAGCTAAATCTCTATCTGGGGCAGGCCCGTCTGCAGGTGATAAACCTGTCTGCAGGTAACCAAAGAAGGTAGTGCAAAACTGAGGATTGTTTCCTGAGGATATTAAAGTGTCTTTCAGCTGGGATGGCTTGTGCGAAAGGGACCTTTAAACCTGTCTCTGACTCCAGCTTGTCCATGAGGTTTTCAGAGCTTGTTTGGGACTCAGTATTACGGTTCCAGACCTCAGCCAGTGTCAGCTGCAGGCTCTGAGGGATGTTAGCCAAACACATGATACTTCCTCTGTGCTAATTGTGCCGCCAACAATGGTGGGAAAGCCTCTACTACTGGTCTAAAGGATGCTCTCTTTGCTTTCCACAGGCTGTGCTGCCCACCTGACCCAGGGAAGAAGCTGGTAGGAGAGCCATTTGTCCCCACGTTGGCTGTACCTTTTGACATGTTTCCTCATACTGTTCATTGTGAGCTGGTGCTTCTGCTCACCCGCTGACAAAGGGCCAGGCATGCCAGCTCTGAGGGCTTAGGGAGTAACTTTCTACCGTCCTGAAGACGAGTTGATATAGTTAGGATTTTAACTTATTTTCTTGAAAGTTGTATAAAAATAAAGAATTGTACTTTGCTCTTACTTTGGGTTGTGCTGTTCTCTAAGGAAACACTCAGATTTCTGGGGTGAAAATGTTCTCTGTAGTATTTCATCACTCTCCTGCACACCTCTTTGTGGGCTTCTGGCTGGGCAGCCTGGAAAATATCCTCCCCCTGGTATTGTGGGTTTTCACCATCAACATGTGAATATGAAGTACAGAAATCCACTGTATTTTCTAATACCATGCCATTAGTTCTCTGCTTGCTTCAAGGATACTGCAGGTATTTTTCAAGATGATAGTGCACTTGCTATGAAGAAACTGTAGGAACTAGAACTCATACTTTTGGGGTCAGGAAATTATTTCCGGTATAAACTTCCAAACCCAATAAATTGCTGTCAGTCACATAGATAAGTTGGAGACAATGAGAAAGATTTTTCTATAAAACGAAATGAAGATAGAACAGATTTCTTTGTCTCTCCTTCCACAACTGCCTCTCCCTTCTCTGCTGCTAATCCTTAATACCTAAACGTGAAATGCCCTGTGAAAGTGTCAGCAGCAACAAGTTATTTCCTCATCACATTGCTCAGCAATAGCCAATTCAAAAATTTGGTGTGTTTTGTATCCTGCCACACTCACCACGTGACAAGCTGTGAACCTCAAAGTCATACGAAGTTCTCTCCAGCTCTTCAAAAGATGGAGCTGCCACAACCTGGAGGTAGGTCTGAGTGAGCAGAGTTCCCTTGTGTTTTGTGAACTCCACATTGTTACGAGGGCTCTTTTTATTTTTTTAATTTTTACTTTTATGTTGTATTGAAGTTACCTTTTGGTTTATCCTGGTCATCTAGGCCAAACCAGCCGCAGAACACATTTCTACACTCAGGCTGTTAAATTTGACTCTGTCCTCCGAAAGAGGGGTTCCCTGTCTGATTTGGGTGAGTCAAAATGGGCAAACTCCCAAGGAAATAGGGAGAGCTGTCTGTGCTTTTCAAACCTTTAACTCTAGTCCTAAGGAACTTGGAGCTTGGAATAACAACAACCACCAGTTCTCAAGCCATGGGGAGTTAAAATACATGAGTTTAGGACTCAAGACTTACTACACCAGAAAGGGAGGTAATGGGGAGATTCCCAACAGGCATAGGAAGTGTCACTCTTGTACTATCCCACAAGTGTAAGTTTTTTTCACACTGTTACAGACTCTTGTTTTCAGCTTATAGTGAGGGATGCAGTTTTCCAGAAGTTTTTTGTATAATTTTATCTTGACTTCTCACTGCAAGATCTGAATGGATTTCTGCCTAGCCTGGATATGCTTTTTGCCAAAAGGAAATTTGTTGCAAATTAGAGGGGGAGAGATAATGACTTTAAATCAGAAAGTAATAGAGGACTAGGAAACCTTTCCACTAGTCTCTGGAGTGCTGAACATCCAGGACAGGTTTTGTCTGCAGTGGGGGAGGGTGGGCCAGTGGCCTCACCATCCCTTTTAGGCTACCAGGTTCTGGGAGAGCCACAGGGGCAAGATGTCTTTTTTGCTTTTCTGGGCCAAATACATTAAGCAATATGTTGTTTGCTGTGTTTCAGTGTCTAAGCGTCTCAAACTGAAAGCTGCCTATGTACAAGAGCCCTCTGACCGGGAGGGAAGGTCCCTCCAGAGCGGGTTCCCTGCTGACATGTCCTCGCTTTCCCACTGAGGAGCAGCTGGGTTTGGCTGCTAGCCCGCACCCCTGCACCTGGCTCGGTTTGGGCTTTCTGCGGGTGATTTATGGACCGTGCAGGGCCCCATCCCCTCACCAGGGATCCTTACTCTCTGCCAAGAGGGGTAAAGAGATGCCATTCCCTCATGTGAAGCCGACAAAAATTACTGTTATCAGGCTACTGTCCCAGTTTCAGAGCCTCTGCAAAGTGTGGAAATCAAGGAAGATGCAAATAGCGCATCCCATGTTTTCCCTGGATAAGCAGTCCAAAGAAAGGGCTGGGCACAGAGGCAGCAAAAGGAGGCTAAGGGATCTCTCAGACACAACAAACAGCACTTTTATGCTCAGTAGGTCCTTTCCCCCCTTGACAATGAAAAAGGAGGCGTAGATTTGTGGATGGGGCTGCACAAGCAAGCACAGGGACACTGGTTATGTTCTACCCAGCCACTGTTGCTACGAGTGCCACACAGCAGAAGTGCATCCAGGCTGGGTTCCAGCTGCCGTGGGGCTCATTGCTGATGCTCAGGGACTAATCTCCCCACTGCTGAGTTAGCATGACCACCTGCCCAAGTCTTTGCCCACGCTCTCCGGCTGGTTTTGCAGCTCCTGCTGAGGCCAGCACTACTCCAGCCAGGCTGCTAGCTGCCTCCAAACTGTCCTGGTGAAAGCTAGCTTGTATTTTTCTACATTACAGGGCAGTAGCAAAAGCAAGACTACAGTGTAGACATACCATGTGCCTCTCAGACCTCAAGTGCAACTTTATTTAGACAGACAAAAAATATAAATAGGTAAATAAAAAAGAAATTTTCTGGGTGATTTTGGAGAGCTGCCTTGAGGGTCCGTATTTCTCACATGCACTCAACTAGGATACCTTCATTTTGCCTTTCTCAGGAGCTGCTTCATGGATGAGTGGCTGCTCATCCCCGTTCACTGACAGGATCCTCTTTTCTGGCAGCTGCTCCTCAGGCTGGCGGGCAATCAGCAGACGACAGGTAAGCAGGATCCCAAAGACTAGGGCATGGGCGTAACGCTTGAGTGGATCCCCCACTAGCTGGTGGAAAAAGAGCACAGCCAGCACAAGGAGGAGGAGGAGAAAGTTGGCCACATCTTTGGGGCGACCAGGCACCAGT